TACATGGTCCAATCTCAATGAAACTTAACATGTCTGATAAGAGTCCCGCCCTGAACACATCTACATGACAATATTCCGATATAGTGATAGCGCCACCTACTGGCAACAGGAAGGAAGCGTTGCATGGCAACTTTGATCTGATTTACGTGAAGCATAAGTCTTTTGCACGGTGTCTGAAACGTGTGACGACGTAGAGCGGTCTCCCTCGGCTTCCGACAATGAGGGCTTGGGCGTGGGGCGGCTGAGGTGGGCGACCACTGTACAGGCCCCGACGTAGGTTGATGGCGAGATCCCGCCCAATGCTGCTTGCAGCTTTAATGTTATAGCTGGGTTTTACTCTTATTGACTACCTTGTTTGCTCAGCAAAATGTAACTGAAAAAAAATGTAAAGGTGTCATTAGTTTCTCTAACTGTATAGCATTTATATATGCCTATTGATGGCACACATCATACATTTCTTAATGTAGACCGCTGACCATATATGCTACAGTCACATAAGATATATTACTGGATTCAGCACAGCCAGACCTGGGACTATCCCAGCCAAAGTTACCTAAAAGTAAATGAATACATTCATCATAGACCCTCATATGTGATATTTATTATTGTACTTCTGTGTTTGTAGTCCTGTATTTCCTTAATGCATCAAGATTCACATTCTGTTTTTCAGATATGTAGAGGAACTCCCTGCCCACTTCCATACTAAATGTGGGATCAATCAGAGCTTGCATTAAGAAATTACATGAGTTTAGGGTTATCATCTCCCATTAGGCCTGGCTTTATTGTGCACTTATTTATGGGGTGTTACAATATTTGTCAATTAAACCACATTTGCAGTAAAGTCTTTTTATATAGGAATCCATTTTATGTATGAGAAACCTTGCTGTGCTTTGTTCTACCTTCAGTACAGATTAAAAAAAACTAAAAAAGGGCTCCAGCTGTGTGCTAAGTCAACATTGTGATGCTTTTATGGTGAAACTGCTTAGTCAGGGTTAGGGCATGTTAGCACATGCCAGGTTTCATAAGAGGGGATGGTATATATAGCATATATAACAACACATGATTAAGCACGGAATGGTAGAGTAACATATTAGACTTCATGATCAAAGAAATCATATCTGCTTCCTCAAGTTTAGAGCTTCTCTGAGTCATCAACTAAGTTACATCAGTGTTATTTTTAAAAAAATCTCTGCACCTCTACAGACCAAACTCTATTAAAAAATGTGGCACTTTGATACTGACATGCTTATGGATCATATCTGCTGAAGTGAATAACACTGATTATCTGGTGGGATCATAGTAAAGTTTGAGGGCCATGCAAATTATCGGAGAAACAACAAAATGGGAGGGTGCCAGGAGATGGCCTCAAAATATATGACTATGCATTATTATATTTTTGATACTCTGTAATAACCTCTTCTCTTTCTTTGTCAGTCAGTATGTTTGGAGCGGTGGTGGTCGGCATTGGCACAGCTGGTTGGGTAAGGATGAGAGACATGTTGGCTCCGCTGCCTGGCAGTGCTGCAGAGAAACTCACTGTCAGAGGATTTATATCCAGGTAACACAAACGTGCCGGCCTGCATGCACAGATAAAAACGTATGTAATAATAAAGCAGCAAAAGGAAGTCACTCATTAACTCACTCATAAAAAACAACAGCTGTCAAGAGGAGTGCAGGCAAATTAAACTACACAATTAACAATACATGAGCATTTACAAGGTTATCTATCTGAAAAAAAATTCCTGGGGGCGCATGTCCCCTGAATCCCTACTTTTTCCAGGTTTTCTCTCCCCACACAACAGTTTGTTACACAAAGATTAACGTCAGAAGAGATGTATGCCTTTAGATACCCTAGGTGTGTAAGATGATTCCACAGGGATAGTTACTCTGAAACTGCATAATGTCTGAATTTGAATTTATTGGTCAGCCCCTTGAGATGCAGAATTTTATTTTCGAGCGATCCTTAAGACACTAATACAAAACAAAACACAACATTACAGCATTACATAAAAAATATACACTGTAAATAAACAGATACAGGCAAATTAAGACCACTAAAGAATATTAAGTTCACAAAAATTAAAAGCATTAGCAAGTTGTTTTTACATGAGAAAATAAAGATGTCCTTAAGCAAAAGAAAGAGGAAACCGATTTTAAAAAAATGTAAGATTATTCCAGTTGCATGGAGCTTTATATTGGAACGACCTGTGTCAAACTGTCTGAAAATTCTTGGAACAAAGAAAAAAGGGATGTTCAATGTGTCTGAGTGGATATGAAGATAGATGAAGAAAGATAAAAAGATGCTTGAAGATAGTTGATTGTTGTTGTCTCATTTCCTGGGTCCCAAAGCATCTGTGTGAGACTCAACAATCAACTATCTTTCTAGGCTCTGATTGGATGTCTTCATTCAGACCTTGTGGATTCTTGCAAAAGCCATTAGGAGCACTAGGAGGAGCCAGAGGAACCTGATTTAGTCTCACATACTACTGTCAGTTAAAAATGATTTTTATAAGTTACCTACTGCAGCTTTAACCCAGACACACTGTCTTTATTAATACAGTACAGTATGAATTTACAAACCCAATTTGGCTTCTCAGCTTGAGTATTTTCAGTGCAACATCACACCTACAGGCATTCAAAAATGTTCAAACTCTATAAAGGTGACAGTGTCTTTGATCTAAGCAACATTCTCATCAGTATTATCCTGACAGATGTTTTTGTCAACAGGAGGAGCCTGGACACTCAACAGGGAGTGAGTCCAGTATCAGTAGAAGAGGCTGTGAGCAGAGAGGATATACATGTGGCGTTCATCTGCACTGAGAATGTGTCACACGAGGACAATGTCAGGTAATGTGACACAAACAACTGCAAAAGTCGCATTTAATCTGTGTCACATTGACTACATTGATTTCAGATGGCCACACTTTTATAAGCCACCTTTATGAAGCTCAAAGCTCAGATAAAGCCACTGTACACTGCCTGCTCTACACCAATATTCACCAGATGGCCAGAAAAACAACTCCAACTGAATGCTAATGTTGCTCTGTATCTGTGTGTGGTGTGTAATTAGGCAACTGTCACATGTTGTGGAGTTTGTTTTACCTCCAAGTAAAATAAACTGCTGTGCACAATCTTTTATACCAGACACTGTTTGACTTTCTGTTCTGTAAACTTATTTTTACAAATCTATTTGCCCTGTGGAGAAACATAATGTACAACTCCTTCTAATCCGAATTTCTGTTTTGACCAAGAAAACTTTCTCCCCCTGTCTCATTAGAACCTTTCTGCAGGCAGGGAAACACGTCTGCGTCGAGTATCCCATGACCATTAACTACAAGGCTGCTGTGGAGCTCTGGGACATTGCCCAAGAAAAAGGTGATACAAAAGTTTACTGTAATGTTCAAAATACATGGCCATTTTTGTAAATTAGTAACGTAATCCATTGGATTACAAAAAAATGTGAAATTAATACTTTTGAATACCCTGATCACTACTGCACAGACTGCTCCAAATGGTGAAAGATTGCAGTGGCCATATCCATATCCATATTATGTCTATTATGTTTTATTGATACCAATACCATTATCAATTCTGTTTATCAATCCAATAATTTCTTTTCTGTCGATTCACTTACTGATTCTTGATCAGTTTTCTGTGTGGAAAAAAGGCCCATACAACTGAGTCTAAACAGAGTAGAAACAGAGTAGAGTTACAGTAGTTTGAGTTTCTTTGTGAAAATAGCTTAACCTCTCTGCCATGACTCCTTCTTGTTGAAAGTTTCCAGCAGCATAGACAGAGGAGTTTGCAAAGAGAGAAAATAATGCTGGCATTGATAAAAGGAAGTGGTGGCAATATGACACTGTGGAACCAGTTCTCAGGTGGAACCAGTTCTTGAGTCGCATCTATAATACTCATCTTCTAAGCATATAGAGGAAACTATGGGGTGATGAACAACATCTTCCACTATGAGGAAAATGTCTAAATGACTACTGGCCAAACTAACAGTTTGTGCATCTCATTCTACTATCTCAGTTAACATTTGTGTGGGTGTGTGTGTGTGTGTGTGTGTGTGTCAGGAGTGATTCTCCATGAGGAACACATTGAGCTGCTGACAGAAGACTACAAAGAACTGAAGAAAGAGGTAGAGGGAAAAATCCTGCAGGAAGGTACTCTTCATTTTACTGGTAAGAGAGTGGAGTGGTGATCTTGATACTTCTATGAGTTTTAACCCAAACTTACATCTCATTTTTAAACTTAGTACTGAAAGTATTTTCTTAGTTTAGTTTTAGAATATGGCTTAACACAAATTATCTGTGTAATATATAATTGTAGTTCACCGGTGTATTCTTTTTCTCCCCCATATCCTCTAAGCTGACTTAGGGTTAGTACTCAAGGTAAATGTCTATAAGGAAATAATAATAATGTGTATAAACGTTCAATTGTTCAAGGTGGAGCTCTGAAGCCTGGATTTGGTTTCCCAGCATTCAGTGGCATCGCTCGCCTCACCTGGTTGGTTGAGTTGTTTGGTGAGCTGTCAGCAACTGCAGCAACCATGGAGGAGGACTCTGCTAACAACTACAGCAAGATGACTGCAAAGCTGATGACTTCTGAAAACAGGTGAGAGAGGATGTACCTGTGTATGTATGTCTACCACAGTGATGGAATACACGGATCAGCCATAACATTGTGAGCACTGACAAGTGAAGTAAATAACACTGATTATCTGGTGGGATTTGAGCGACAGAGCAGAATGTTATGCCTGATGGGTGTAAATAGAGTTAAGAAATCTCTTTAAACAAAACTAACCAGCATCCATCTCTCTGACTACCCTACCCTGTCTGTGCCAGTCCATTGTTTATTGTCCTAAAAAGGTTTCTCAGCTACATTTATTTTAATAGCGAAGTTCTTCCTATGATATTATGCATTGGGGAGTGGCCAGATTAACCAAATTTTTGTGCCACTGTAGTAGCCACTGATGGACAGGGAACAGGCTCTGTTCTGGTTCAAGCACCTAGTTTTCAACTGTTCAGAGCATTTTGACCAAAAATAAATTGGTTAACAACCAAAAAAGTTGGTTAAAGAATCTGAATTAAATTTGGAGTCCACTGTCCAACTGAGTGGGGATGTGTTCCAGCCTCTGGCATCCTTTGTTGTTGTGACAGTTAAGAAGAGCACAGGTGTGGAGGAAGGGTAAATTATAGTGGGATGATTAAAGAATCACTAAAACATTACTTAATATCTGTGTCCTTCTAGACCTCTGACGTGGATTGAGGAACGTGGGCCGGGCCTCCCCAGGGCCAAGAACATCAACTTTGTCTTTGACTCCGGCACTCTGACCAAAATCCCCCCTGCACCTACAGGGGCTGTAGGCCTCTTCATGCAAGACCTGATCCTCTTCTCTGCTAAGGTGGTGGGCCAAGTGAGTCCAGAGGAGCTCCAGAAGGAGAAATCAAGGATCCTGCACTGCTTGAAATTGGCAGAGAGGATACAACAACTTTGCCAAAGCTAAATGGGGACTCTCCAGTTTATGATCATCCTAAATCTGGATCTCATTCTAACATGACTGTTTATTTTTCATCACCATGCCATTAAGTGTTTTTTTTGTATTGCGGGTCATATAAACTTGGTATTATTTCATCACATCAGACATAATCACTGAAGCTGAGTCACTGAACTGAATAACATTCTAACATATTTAGACATTGGTGCCTGAAAGTAAATTGTTGTGACTACTGAAAATTAGAGATGGGAATTGATAAGATTTTATTGATACTAATACCATTTCCAATGCTCATGATCATTCAGATTCTTGATTAAGTCTCTTAATTAATCCTGATTAATTTTCTGTGTGAAAATGTGAGTATAGTATATTGCTGGTGTGAAATGCAGCCACGCTTTGGAGTGTTTCTTTATATCCACCATGACTTCTTCTTGTTGCAAGTTTGCAGCCATGTAGACACAAGTTTGATGTCATTGTTTTTGAATGTGCAACTGTCAGAAAATTAGATTAATTAGATGTAAGGAACTGATCAACTCAGAGGCTTATAATTCTGATGGATTGGACAATTTGGAACCAGTGCAGGTACCAGATGTGCCCTGCTTGGCAGATCTGCTCAGGGTCCTGCGTTAACAGATGCCATAACACATTATGATTGGCTTTATGTCAGCAAGTGTACCGATACCGTGTGTTCTTGCTGAAGTACCTGCTGCCTAATTGAACTGAGCGTGTGCAACTCTCAACACAGATGAGAAGGAAATTAAATGGCTCACTTTTTGAGATGTGTTACGATGCATTATTTTATTTATTTTTTCAGTTTTAGCTAAGGTAACATTAATAGTGTAACAAAACTGGTGCCACTTTTGCATCTGAAAATTGTTTGTTGCTGTACTGTAATGGTAAATGGACCTGTACTTGTATAGTGTCTTTATAGTCTTACGACCACTTCAAGCGCTTTTAAACTACATCTTAAGTACATCTTTCTCTTCTTCACATCTTTGGAGAGTTGCACATGCTCAGTACCGATCGAGCAAGATGTACACGTAATCAACTTAGTGTATCATCATAAACAGTTGTTTGATAAATATAATATTTTTAAACTTGGCAACACTAGCTGACTTACTGGAAGTCTTTTTTTTTTTCTCTGCTTGTTTTAAATATGTGTTTCAGCACAGGGCCTTTGACAGAGTGGGTAACAGCTAGCACTGTTTGGTCTGATCCAGGAGCGCAAAGCAGTGACATTCAATATACTCCTACCCAATCAGTGTTCATTTTGACAGATATTTTAGGTTTAGTCCTTACCCGCCCGGCCGGTTCAGCTTACTAGAAAATATTACAGGTTTGGGAGGGCAAAGCAGCATTCAGACCTTCCTCTCCGTAACTTTCTCTTAAAAAGCCCTCACACGGCAGTATGCTGGGTGCTGTGCATTCAAACAAGTACAAGTACAATAAAGAACACGTTTGGAACATTCCGTCTGTTTATTTAGTCTAGCTCTTCCAACTTCTGTGGGCAGGGAAGAAAGGAAGTGCTCAGCACAGCTTCTACCTGCTCCCAGCAGCAGAATCAGCTCTATGTGGTGTTGGAAATAGAATAAATATCCAAGGGGGCAGTAAATACAATCCCTGTACTTCCAAAGCGAGACTTGTGTCCGGATTCTTGGGCGTAAGTCTGACTTGTTCACAGTGGGTGTTGGCCTCCGCCAGGGCTGCGCTTTGTCACCAATCCTGTTTTTTTTCTGCGATTTTCATGGACAGGATATCGAGGCGTAGTCGTGGGGGGGAGGGGTTGCAGTTCGGTGGGCTGAGGATTACATCGTTGCTTTTTGCAGATGATGTGGTCCTGATGGCATCATCGGCCTGTGACCTTCAGCACTCACTGCATCGGTTCGCAGCTGTGAAGCAGCTGGGATGAGGATCAGCACCTCTAAATCGGAGGCCATAGTTCTCAGCAGGAAACCTTGGTTGCTTTATCGCGCTGTTGTCACGAAAAGAGAGTTGAACTGAAAGGCGAATCTCTCGATCTACCGGTCGATCTTTGTTCCTACCCTCACCTATGGTCATGAGCGATGGGTCATGACCGAAAGAACGAGATCGCGGGTACAAGCAGCCAAATGGGTTTCCTTAGGAGGGTGGCCGGCATCTCCCTTAGGATATCGTGAGAAGCTCGGTCATCCGCGAGGGACTCAGAGTAGAGCCGCTTCTCCTTTGCTTAGAAAGAAGCCAGCTGAGATGGTTCGGACATCTGGTGAGG